ATTAAAATTACTGATTCTTTTAATTTTATGTATATTGAGAATGGTCGAATAGTCAACTGTTTATATTCTTAAAGACAGTTTTGTAAATATAAGAAAGGTTAACACATATTATTTTTTAGTTGTAGCTCATAATTCTTCTATCGTTTTTCATGTTATTTATTTTGTTAACAAAATGTTTAATCTTTAGTTTCTTTCTCCTCTCTTATACATATATAACAGTTTTTATTTTTTTAAACTCAAATGTATTACTAATTTAATAAATATATATTAATTTTTGCAGAGGACATGACACAAAGAGTGGAAAGTATGACGCTGGAAGGAAAAGATGCTGCTCTACAGCAGTTAATGCAACAAATGTTGCATCAACAACAAAAATTAGTAAAAATGCAGCAACAGCTGCATTTTTTAATAAGTCATGGTGCAACAACGCAGCAGCAGCAGCAGCAAAATACAAATAACACAGAAAACATCCAACAAAAGCAGCAGCAGCCGGAGGAACAAACAAGTGGTAAATTATTTTTTTCTTTTATTTTTTGTAACTAAATGATTAATTTATATGCATGATTGTTCTATTTAATATAGTACTTATCTGTAAATGTGCTTATTTTTTAGAAAAAAGAAGAGGAGGCGGAAAGTCTCGCGCTCGCTGGTATCACCAGCGAGGTGGAAGAAATGAATGGGGAGGCAGAGGTGGATGGGGAGGCAGAGGTGGATGGGGAGGCAGAGGTGGATGGAGCAACAGAGGTAGATGGGGTGGCAAAGGTGGATGGGATGGCAGAGGTGGGTGGGGACAGAAAGGTGGCCAGGGCGGAAGAGGCCCTATTATAATAAAAAAATATTATATAAATAAATAAGATATTAAATAGATATAAAAATAATTTTATATATTAATTTAATATTAATATTAATTTTATTTTTAACAATGAAACTTTTATTTTTAATATCTTTTTCTATTTCTTATTTATATTTTATTAATTTTAACCATATTTTATTTTTATTTATATTTTATTTTATATTTTTATTATTAATTT